TTACTTATTTATTATTTATTTTTATTATTATTTTTTGAGACAGAGTTTCACTCTGTTGCCCAGGCTGGAATGCAGTGGCGCGATCTCAGCTCACTGCAATCTCCACCTCCTGGGTTCTAGCAATTCTTCTGCCTCAGCCTCCCAAGTAGCTAGGACTATAGGCGTGCATCACCATGCCCAGCTAATTTTAGTATTTTTAGTAGAGACAGGGCTTCACCATATTGGCCAGGCTAGTCTTGAACTCTTGACCTTGTGATCTGCCCACCTCGGCCTCCCTAAGTGCTGGGATTACAGGTGTGAGCCACCACGCCCAGTCTATTTTATTTTATTTTTGAGATGGAGTCTCGCTCTGTCACCCAGGCTGGAGTACAATGGCATGATCTGGGCTCACTGCAACCTCTGCCTCCTGGGTTCAAGCAATTCTCCTGTCTCAGCCTCCCAAGTAGCTGGGATTACAGGCACGCACCACCACGCCCAGCTAATTTTTGTATTTTTAATAGAGATGGGGTTTCTCCACGTTGGCCAGGCTGGTCTCAAACGCCTGACCTCAGGTGATCTGCCCGCCTCAGCCTCCCAGAGTGCTGGGATTACAGGTGTGAGCCACTGCACCAGACGGTATTTTGCATTTTAAACAGGGGCAGGAAGGGTAGGGAAACTGTAGATGAGGGGGTAGGACAGAGGCATGTGGCCCATGGAAAAGTTAACCTACATTCAGAAAATCTGGCCCTGCTAGCTTGGAAAAGTGATACAAGCCACTAAAGTACAGAGGAACCATGAAGACATTATGCTAAATAAAAGAAGTCAGTCACAAAAGTACAAATATAGCAGGATTCTGCTTCTGTGAGGTCCCTATAATAATTCCTAGAGATTGGAAGTTGAAGGGTGGTCACCAGGGGCTGGGGAGTAGTCGGAAATGAAGCGTAAGTGTTTAAAGAGTATAGAGTTTCAGTTTTGCAACATGAAAAGAGTTCTGGAGATGGACGATGGTTACAGGATAATATGAATGGACTTAATCCCATTGAACCGTATGCCGAAAAATGGTTAAGACAGGAAATTCTATGCTGTATATTTTACCACAATTAAGAACACATTTTTAATGGCTAAGATGGTTTTAAAAAGGTTGCAATGGATAAGTGTATTCTAAATTAGAAACAATTAGCATGTGTAACTAAACAACTTAATTGGCAGGCAAGTATCTACAAACAAACAAAACCTGTCACCAATCCATAAGCCCAAACCGCACACCTGTTCCCTTCCTGGAGGGTCATTTCCTCTCTATTCAGTCAGTTCCTGGATCTTTGGCTCCAAGCCTGAGTCTCTGCCCTCCAACCCAACCCGAACACATTTTGTTTCCTAGCCAGGCCCTCCTGAAGCTAAGGCTCAGCTGTGTCACTCAGGAGCCCTGGAGTGCCAGCCTCTGTGCCAGCCCCGCCACCCTCAACCCAAGCCCACCTGCCTTTGTCAGCACCTGACCAAAGCGGGGCCTCGTTCCCCGACTTTCTTCTCAGGCTAGCCAAGAACCCACACAGACTGCCGGTGGACAAAGGAGACTGAACGTCCCTACTGACACAGTATCTTTCAAAGGCTCTTCCTCCGGCCCCAATTCAAAGGCCACATATTCTAAGACAACAGCAGGGACTGACTGGAACTTCTAAGCGAGGAGACTGCAGGGGATCTATGCGGGCCTCGCCCACACTGTTCAGGCATCAGCACTTCTCTGTGGGGCCCTGGGCCACGGCAGAAGTGGAAACAGCAAGGTTAGGGCCTTCCGCAGGCAGAAGCCATGGGGGAGTTTTGAGGCCACTGGGAAAAGGTTAATAGAGGCAGTTTCAAAGCTCTCAGGAAATGGCATCAGGCAAGAGCTACTCTTCAGAGACAACAGGCCTGCCTCCATCCCGCTTACCTGGTTACAGGTGTTAATGTCTACCCCA